CAGATTAATCTAAAATTTCTGCATATACCACACAAACTTCACCAAAGAGGATTCAGTTAAAACACTCTACATGCTTCTATTAGTTGGATATAATCATTTGTGTAAGAATAATGTAATTCTTAAAGTATTCATGAAACTGTATGCTTCAGTAAGAAGATTAGTAGTCAAGTCCAGTTTATTTGCCTTATTGTCACTATGATTAAAAAGCAAACTCCCACAGGAGATGGAATCTCAAATTATTAGATTTAACTCTCTGCCAGAAATAGAAAAAGATTCTTTAAAATGTGTGTTATGCTGGGGCTCCTGGGTGGCTCAGTCGGTTAAGCCTTCGGCTCAGGTCGTGATCCCAGGGTCCTGGGATCAAGCCCTGTGTTGGGCTCCTTGCTCAGCAGGGAACCTGCTTCTCCCTTTCCCTCTGCCCGTCCCCCACTTGTGCTCTCTCTCTCTCTCCCAAATAAATAAATAAAATCTTAAAAAAAAAAAAAGAAATTATCTCATAGATTCTCATACTCTTGCAAGAATTAAAAGAGAAAACAGATGCTTAGGAACCTGAAGAACTATCTCCTAGTGAAACAGGAGCATGAGGTTATTGAATCATTAAGTTGGGCCATCTGGTTTGAAGGGGAATCATGAGGACTGACACTTCATGGCCCAAGACAGGTCTAGTGCTTAATTCAGAAGCAGAAACTCCTTCCTTTTTGCAGTGTAATCTATGCTGGCAGTACTCACCAGGGAAGGGAACTCTAGATTTCTAAACCATTATCAGGAAAGCAAGTTCTAGACTCTCCCCCACCACACCCCCAACTTCAGTCATGCAGCGAGAAGTTACTGAGTCAGCCAGCTGAGCTGGGGTCTGCAGAGCAGAGAGGTGGGGGATGTGGAGGCCAAAGGCAGAAAAAGGTCAACACTATGACTCTTCACACTGGTTTGAAAACCTTAAGATGAGAGTTTATTCGAAACACTCATCCCATATATTGTGAATTGCTAAGATTTTGGCTCGGTCTTAAGAAATCCTCAAGAAATAGTAAAATACCAACAATAATGCTATATAGTAAATACAGACATTGTAACTTCCCAAGTAACTTCACAGTGTTCGGGAAGCAGTGGAGAGAGGGCTCCAAGGTGATTGACAGTATTGTTTCTGCAATCAGTGGACTCCTAAATGCCCTTGGGAAAATACTGGTCTGGGGGAGAATTTAAGTAAGTGACACTGGCTGTAAACTTTTGACTTAATCAAGGCAGGGCCGTTTTCAAAAACAGAAGTGCCCTAAAATCAATGAATTAAACTCTGTTGTTAAGAAATTCAGCAGAGACCCACACAGATGAGTCCTGCTCCTAATTGCCCAAAGGACACTTAACTTGCCTCCACCATGTATGTGTCTGATTACATCTCTTAAGAAATGTGTACAGAACATTTACAATTGTGCCAGAAGCTCTTTAAATTATTATGCTTTTTTATTCACTACTATTGCCTTCATATGAAGAAAATATGTTTCAAGTGTTTATTTGTGAATTAATACTTTGTAATTCAAACAGATTGTAAATTCCTCCAGGGGACAGAGACTGGCACAGAGACAATGAAATCTTTGGGTGAAGAAAGTTCTCATCTCCCTCAACATCCAGCCTATGGTCTCATATGAACAGAAGGTTAATAAATAATTGTTGAATTAATTTATAAAAATACTATAAAAGATATGTATATTTCACAAAGTAAGTAAAGTACTATGCATTGCCAAGTTGTATAAGTAGGTAATGAATTTAGTAATTTTAAACTAAAAGAAAAAAGTCAAATTACAGGGTTTTTTTTAATGCATCTTAAACTTGGGTGCTTAAAGAAAAGCACTATTAAATTCTGCTCTCACATGATCACAGACAAGATAACTGTGTTACTCTGGGCTGCCACCTTTAGGAAGGACATAAATATTCAACAAATATTTGTTGAACTTTCATTAAGATGTGCAAAGCACAAACATTTATGCAGATTCAATTCAGACCCCAAAAGTAATTCCATCCCTGACTACCAGGGGGCACCCTAAGCAAGCATATCTGAGTGGCTGGTAGAAAGGAAAAGAGGACGGGTGGTGCCTCTCCAACACCCCTGTGTGAGGCGATCCTAGCTCAGAGAACAACAATGCAGTCAAGTCTCTCTCCACTGTACACCTTTTTTGCTAGAAATGTTACTAGCATGTGGAAATGGGACCTGTCAAATGAGAATTCAGCTTTAATCTGTTTGGCATACATGCATATGTACATATACATGGACATTTTCCCCTGAAATTATCCTAAATGTAATCTTTCTTGAAACTAAATGAGAAGCAAACAATCTTTACAAATAAAAAGTAAATCATATGATTAAGATCTAAGTTGTCTACCTAGAAAATATACAATGTGACAGATGTAGTAAAGAAATCACTGTTTTCTTAATTCTGCTCATCTTTACACAATATCATTTTTAATGTTTTTATTGTGGTAAAATATACATAACTAAAATTTATAATTTAACCTTTTTTAATTGTAGAGTTCTGTGGTATTAAGTACATTCACAATGTCCTGCAACCACCACCACCATCTGTGGGCCCAACTTTTTCACCTTCTCAAACTGAAACTCTATTCCCACTAAACACAAATTCTCCATTCTCTCTTCCCCCAGCCCCTGGCAACCACCAGTCTACTTTCTGTCTCTATGATTTTGACTACTCTAGGTACCTGACATAAGTAGAATCATACAATATTTGTCTCTTTTGTGATTGGTTTATTTCACTTACAAACTTCCAGTTACAAAATAAACCAGTCACAGGGACAAAAAGTACAGCATAATGTATTATAGTCAGAAATATTGTAATAACTTTGTATGGTGACAGATGGTAACTACATTTATTGCTATGGCCATTTCATAATGTATATAATGGTCACATCACTATGTTATATACCTGAAACTAATATTAATATTGTATATCAACTATAGTTCAATTAAAAATAAAAATAAAGGGATGCCTGGGTGTCTTAGTCCTTAGGCTTCTGACTCAGTTTCGGCTCAGGTCATGGCCTCTGGTGGTAGGATCCAGCCCCGCACAGGGCTCTGCATTCACCCGGGAGTCTGCTTGAGATTCTCTCCCTCTCCCTTTGGCCCTCCCCCCGACTCACACATTCTCTCTCTGTCTCTCTAAAAGTGAATAAATAAATCTTTAATAATAAATAAATAAAATATTCTCAACTATTTGAAGACCTTATAGAACAGTATTTCTCAATTAAAAAAGAATTAAGTCTACATGACCACCACCTACTACATACATACACCTTCAAGTTCTAAAAGGAACTAGATATTTTAGATGTGCCTTCAGAAGCTTAGTTTTCTTTTGTCCCTGGGATAACCCTAAGTTCAGATCACAAATGAATAAGTAAATTCCCTAGGACAAGCATATAGCTAATCAGAACAGATCTAAACTCTAATAAAGATGACCAATGGAAGCTGTTCCTGGAAATTTGAAAACAATCAAAGACTCTAATTTTGCCACATTCTTGCAATAAATCCATCACTCATAAAGGGAATTCTGGGATCATTTTCAGCTTCTAGAATGGTCAACAAAATTCTTCCTACCTTCCTTCCTTCCCTCCCTCCCTCCTTCCCTCCCTCCCTCCTTCCCTCCTCCCTCCCTCCCTCCCTCCCTCCCTCCCTCCCTCCCTTCCTTCCTTCCTTCCTTCCTTCCTTCGATATGTTGCCCAGGCCAGGCCCCATGCTAAACCCTGAGGACGCAAAAGCAAATCCTGAGGCGCGGAGGGAACACAGAGTCGCCTAAACTGAGCTGAGACAATAACAGACAGGGATGGGATTCCTTCCTTGCTCGGTGGCCTTTTGTAGTTGGCTTTGCTTTGAAGTGTGTGCAATACCAACTCTGGGGAGGAAAGAAGATGTTAAAACCTTCACCCCAGTCTGGGCAAGCAGGCTAGGCCTTGCTCTAGCATCTGGTCACTAACACCAATGAGAATGAGTGCCCTGCAGGGACACCTTCCCTGTCACCTCGGGCAGGGCCAAGTCTCAAGTGCATCGGAACAAGTTCTTTAAAAAAAAAACACACACGCACATACACAAAAGAATCCCTGTGACCGCCGGCTAAATTAAGTGTGTTTGACGGGAACCAGGCTCGCGGCCACTATTTATAGCTCCTCGGCTCCCTTCCCGGGACGCGCTCCAGCCTCCGCCCGGGCGCGGCCCTCGACAGCATCCACGCTGCGGCCCCGGCTCTTCTTTGGTAGATTCGGCCAGGTTACGTGGGAACCCCCTGCTCAGTGGCCCGTGCCCCGCGCTGGCTGTCTAGAACCGCGTCCCCCCGCGGCCCAAGACGCCCCAAAGCCCACGCATCCCCCGGCTCAGGAGCGCCCCCAGTGCTGCGGCTCGGCCCTGCGAGGGCGGGCGTGAGCTGGATCGCGGGGCGGGCGCACGTGCGCGCGACGGGCGCCCCTGGAGCCGGCAGGACGGAACCAGTGCGCCCTTTGCTCGCCCTCGCCCCCCGCCCTTCGTCGGTCTTGTGCTTTCAGTGGAGACAGACGCGAGGCCCGCGGGAGCCCGGCGGCGGGAAAGAGCCCCTGCTCCACATCCGGAGCAGGAGGGCGCTCCCGTGGGTGGGGCGCGGGATGCAGGTGCGGGTGGGAAAGCCGGACGGTTGCAGGGTGACGGGGGGTGCAGGGGCGAGTGGGAATGCGGATACGGTTGCGGGGTGATGGGGTGCAGGTGCGGTGCAGGTGCAGGCTGGCGGGACGTGATGGGGACTGCGGGTGCGAGGCGGGAAGCGGCTGCAGGTGGGTGTGCAGCATGGGGAACTAGGGGCAGGGTGCGCGTGCGGGACGAGAATGCGGGGCGCCGACCGGCGGCGGGGCGGGGGCCTTGCGCAGCGCCCTGGCACCGCCCCCGCGCGGCCCCCAGGCTGAGGTGGAGGCGGCGGGGGCGTGGCACGGCGGCCCGGGCTGCGGCTTGGGGGCGCCGAGCGCGGGGCGCACTGGGGCCGCGGGGATGGCCGCCGGGGCGGGGAGGCCGGGCCCTTGCGCGGGGCGCACGCGTTAAGTTGCACCGCACGTGTAAGAGAAATTCTCCTTTTCAGAGCGGCCGGGAGCCCTGCTCGAGAAGGAGCGCACCCGGGTCGCCGCCGCGGCAGAGCGGGGTAAGCGCAGGGCCGGGCGCCCCGGAGGCCCAGGCGCCGGCGGCCGGGGGCAGCCCCGGGGCGGAAGGACGGGCGGGACGCCGGCGCCTCCGACCTCCCCAGACGGGCTCGGGCGGGCCGGGGCGGAGCGAGCCGGAGCCCGAGCCCCGCTGCCCGTTTGCGGCTCCCGGCCTCTTAGAATTCTTTCGGGAATCTTGGGGAAGTGGTGGGAGCGGCAGGGCTAGAGAGCGGGGCTCGGGAAACTTTCTGGAAAACTTTGGGAATAATTGATGTTCCTTTGCTCCTGGAGATCTCTGCAGAGCGCCAGTTCTCAGCTGTGTAATGGCTTTCTTTGGTGGATGGCGGAAGGCTGGGTTGAAAATGTTTCCTTGACGGTGTTTTCCCCCTTGAGTGGGGAAGCTGGAGTGGTTCTAGAACTTCAGATCTGAGGGATCTTAAGGACTGTTTAAATACTTGAATATTCTCAACAGATACCACAGCCGCAAGGAATGGAGTTCAACTGCTGGCGTTTAGCATCGCCACGCTTTCTACAGAGTTGTGTTGGTGTCTTTTAGGAACGATGTTGGCTCGCCTCCTTACTTTAAGAAAGTTTTTGAAATTTCTTTTTTTCTTTCTCTTTCTCTTTCTTTCTTTTTCTTTCTTTCTTTCTTTCTTTCTTTCTTTCTTTCTTTCTTTCTTTCTTTCTTTCTTTCTTTCTTTCTTTTTCTTTCTTTCTTTTTTTTTTTTTAGAAACGTTTTAGTTATAAGTACCACGATCTAATTTCTTGACCCGTATGCTTGTTATGGTGTGTTTGAGTATAAAGAATTTACAGAAGAGTGGAAAAACACTTATCTGCATTCTACAGTAATCCCTTCTTTTAGGGGCTTTTCTCACAGTGAATTGCAGCGACGCGGGTGTATTTGCCTTGCAGTCTACACTCTAGTGAGCAGAATTCATCCCAGTTTGCAGCGCTCTCAGTTCATGAATATTTGTGACTGGGACTTTAGGGACAAGTGGAGTTCTCCAGTTTTTACTTTACCAAGATACCGCCAAATATGTCACTTAAAGATGGTTACATACGAACAGCTGAGGCGTGAATTATGCTTTGGTTTATATTACTCAAGAATTCAAATTGGTGATTTATGATATGTGCATCACTTCACTGACAGTCCATCAGTGTCCTGTGAAACGTATTGCAAAACAAACAGTAAAGGATTAAAGAGGAAAAGGGGGGACTTATTTTCCAAGGGTCAGTGTGTTCAAAGTGAACAACAGCTAATTTGGCACATATTCCACTGGCTCAGCAGTTTGATCCATGTTGAGATAAGCATCTCACAAGGGCAATGCACGTGTTACTGTAGTGTAAAGTAATTCACAAAAACTTTACTACTATAACAAACCAAACAATGCTATTTAGGTTAACCAGTGGATATTTAACAGGCTTAAAGCCATCTGAAGATAGTGAAATGTGGTTAACAAAATGTCACTGTTTGCAAATAAGAAAAAGAATTTTGACACAATTTCCTTGAATGTTATTTACATTTTAAGTTGTGTTCCTTTTCTTAACAAAATAACTTTCACACTACACATTTGAACCTTAAAAGTAATTGTGTGTATGTATCACAGCCATTTTATAAAGCCTCATGTATGTAAAGAATTTAAACTATAATTAGTCTTCAGATGCTACCATCACTTGAACATGCACCTAACACAGAATAAATAAGATATATGTATTTTTAGGATTTTACCTCAGTATCACACATAATTATATGAGTAAACACATAGTTTTTGTACTGTACTAAAATACCAGAACATTCTAGACAGTGGAAAGGCCTTTGAGAAGTATTTCACCCTGTACAGATAGCATGATTTCCGGGATCTCTGTATTCAGAAACAGCCAAACTCATGATTAACATACAGTGTCCTTCTCTCCTCCACTCCACTGTGTTGTGGCCATTACCAATACTATGTAACACTTGTCATACTATATTTTGATTCGTTTTTTTTTTTTACAAGTCTGCTTCACCCATAGATTGTGAATAAAACTCCTGAGAGTAAGAACCATCTCTTTTTTAAAATTTTTTTTATTATTATGTCAGTCACCATACATTACATCATTAGTTTTTGATGTAGTGTTCCACGATCCATTGTTTGCGTGTAACACCCAGTGCTCCATGCAGTACGTGCCCTCCTTAATACCCACCACCGGGCTAACCCATCCCCCCACCCCCCCTCCCCTCTAGGACCCTCAGTTTGTTTCTGAGTCCATAGTCTCTCCTGAAGAACCATCTCTTAATTAGTAGCACAGGGCCACACACATATGATAGGTGTTTGATAAGTGTTTACTAAATTGAAGTGGGAAAAAGAATCCAATACATGTGATCATTAACAGCATACAGGTGTCTCTAAAAAACAATATGTTTTTGCCATTTCAATATAATGCATAAAGGGAATAAAATAGTGATAAATTTTAATCTTACTTTTCATTCTTACAGTGGTGGGAAATTCTTCATCATGATAACTGGGTTAGTACTCTGTTGCTTTTTTAAAATCTCTGGTCTTCAAAAGTATGACTTCGTAATGGTTGACGTGAACAGTTTCTGCACTCTTACATTTTCTTTAATTTGAAGAATTAGTGGCTTCCTTTAAATTTACTGTTGACAAACTAATGATACTAAACATAAAAATCACCTAATTTTTTTCTTTCAGACCACCTGATTATCTCCATGAGTTAATGCTCATTTTATTCGTGAAACTCCATTTTGTATTACCCTTAAAATAAATCTTTTATTCTAGAACATAGAAGGGATTTCTATGTTGTATCCTAATAAAAGTGGGTTTGAATAAGAAAAGTGAAATTATATTGATTTTTAAAATATTTTATTTATTTATTTGACAGAGAGAGATAGCGAGAGCAGAAACACAAGCAGGGGGAGTGGGAGAGGGAGAAGCTGGCCTCCCGACGAGCAGGGAGCCCGACATGGGGCTCGATCCCAGGACCCTGGGATCATGACCTGGGCCGAAGGCAGACGCTCAATGACTGAGCCACCCAGGCGCCCCTGAAATGATATTTATACTATAGAAATTATTATTTCAAAAATAGAAACCATTTTGACAGATGTAATTTGTGTCAGTAATATAAATGGAAAAATAAAATATAAGTAATATAAATGGAAAAATAAAATATATATAAATATAAAAATATATGAGGTTTTGTTCACTAAAACAAGAGTAAAGATAATATGTGAATTTGCTTTAAGATGACAATGTCAATTTATATGATGGAGTAACAGGACTGTTCTTAGCATGTCAGTAATATTTAACAATATTAGCCACTTTGGAATGGAAGAAAAAGAGCAAAAGCTTAAAATGTACTCTAGCCCATGTTTCTAAACCCATGTTTTAAAGTGTGGTAGAGCAATATGACTAAAGAGGCAGCTCTTCTAATCAATAATCGGCCTGGTGCATAATGCACGCGGGAGGGGAAGGTACGTCCGCCCGAGAAGAAAAAGGCAGGAGTTTTCGTGCTGGCTTCAGCACTGTGGGCTGTGTAGCCTTCTGCGAATCACAGTACCCTCTCGGGGCCTCCATATCCCCATGTCCCCATGTCCCCATATCCCCATCTGTAACATGAAGAGGATAAACTAGACCACTTCTGAGGTTCTTTTAGCTCTAAAATGCTATGATTCCATACTTCCTCCATGGATGAGCAAGATTCCTGAAGGATGTAATTTGGATTTATAGAGGGAAATTACCTTTTAACTGACCAGACAGTATGAAATCAGTGCTTGGCATACTATTCCCACTGCCTGGTCTGTGGTTTAGACGTGCTAAAGCACCCCTATAATTTTCTTTATTGTTATTTACTCTTGCTTCAAGCCACCCTTCAGGAAGTATTGGTAAATTGAATTTTACTTCAAGGGTATTGACTTTTTTCTTTATTATTCAATTATTAAAAGTTTGAGAACTAATGTTGAAATACATGAAAATCATTGCTAAATTACACTAAAATGTGTAAGTAAAATGTTTAAATAAGTGAAAACTTCAAGTGGTATTCTTAGGTCTTTTACAGAGGTTATTTTAAAAACTTTTAATGCCATTTAATAATTGGCAGGAGAAACTGGAGGACTCCACAGGGTAATGGAACAGGGAACACAGTTGGAGGGTTTAAAAAGGAAGCCTAGTATGGCATGAATAGTATTGGAAGACAGTCATGTTTCTAATTATGCTCCAGACTATTTACATTTTTCTGTCAATTGAACTGAAGCTCAACCAGCTGTTAATTGTCTAGCTTAATATTAGAACTCTAATTGTGGAAATGGTGACTTAATACTGATTTCTGGTAGGAATATTTATTTTATTCAAGTATTTCAAGAAGAAATACTGTGGATAAAAAGCTAAGGGTATTTTTAATTTTGTCATTCTTAAATATAAAAATTGAAGACATTTGTTTTTAAACTAATACAGTTGTTTAAGTTGCTTCCAACTTCCAATTAGCTCTCACTTAGCTTTTCAGTTACAGAATGTCAAAAACAAAAGAAAAACTGAGTTTTTCCCTTTGACTAAGGATGAAAAGTGTTAACGATAGTTACCTTAGCCAAGTAAAGACTTAAAGAGCACATGACTTTTCAGGTATTTATAAACAATTTAAAATCCAACCCCCCAAAGAACAATTAAAATTCCCACATAAAAGAGAAAATAGAGGGATAATAATAATAACACATGGATGGCAGGTGTTTTCTATCCATTCTTATTTAATAAGTAAAATAAGTAGAATAAAAGTATAATTTAAGGTGCACCTGGCTGGCTCAGTCAGTGGAGTGTGCAACTCTTGATCTTGGGGTTGTAAGTTTGGGCCCCATGTTGGGTGTAGAGATTACTTGAAAAATAAAATCTAAAAAAAAAAAAAAGTATAATTTAAAACAATTTCATGTTTCTGGAGACTTGTTCTCTGACAATAAAAATATATAATTCTAGCAGTGCTTTAAAATTATTGATTAAGAAGTTAGAAAATTAGTGT